CCTTGGGGTCATATCCAAAAACTTTACTAAGTTTAAAATAAAACAACACAAGTTTCATAATATTTTCTTGAAAAAAACAACAACAACAACAGTTTTTGCTCCATATAAATTAGTTTTTGAATTTTTAAAATTCGAAGACGAAGTCAAAATAAGATAAAAAATCGCGCAATTTAGATCTCGAAAAGATTTACAACCCCATTTTTTTTTATTTTTTTTTAGAGTTGTTTAAAGTCTAAAACAATCCTTGAAAGTCGCGGCCGCACCCAACCGCGGTCGGAGCCGTGGCGGCCGTGATCACGGCCGCCCTCCGAGCTCAACCCTACGGACACGTCCGCGGGTGTTTCATAGGCGTACGACCATGTGATCTGAATGTTTCTTAATAAATGCCTCGAAAGGATAGACTTTGGACCGACCTTTAGAAGGTGGGTAGGAATCTTGCATCAAAACGCCATAACGACCGTCCAAGTGAATGGAAGAATGACCCCTGTCATGCATCTGGAACGGTCGATGAGGCAAGGAGACCCTATTGCCCCTTTTCTCTTCGTCATTATTATGGAGGCCCTCGCAGCAAACCTACGGGCCCACAAAGACCTTCAAAGTATAAGGCGCCCCTCCATTCCAGAGGATGTCATCCATCCCTGTCTATTCGCTCTTTGCAGATGATCTTACTATAATGATAGATGCGTCCCATGAAAACATGCTGAAAATCCAAAATCTGATGGACCATTTTTGCTCCCTGTCTAATATGACTGTTAATTGGGGCAACAAGACACAAGGGTGGTGGCTACACTACCAGGGAGGGAGGCCATCAAATACCCCTAATATTACATGGATGCCCACAGATGCCCCGATTAGAATTCTGGGGGTCGAAATGATAATAGAAGGGAAACCACCTCTGAACGATGAATGACTCATGCAACGGTTGCAACCAGTTTTGGGGAAACTAACCCAGTGGAAGGACCGACAGACATCTCTAATGGGTCTATCTCTGATGATCAACAATGTAATTCTGGTTGCTCTGTGGTACAAAACAGCAATCTAGGCCCTCAACAAACCTGCGACAACTTCCCTCCAGAGACAGGTGACAACATTTTAATGGAGAGGGATTCACGAGTGCCCTAATGCTATCAGTAGAGTGGCCTTGCAGTCGGTCATACAACCAAAAACCAGAGGGGGTATAGGAATAATTGACCCGACCACTCAAGTGATTTCTCTAGCTCTTCGGTGGGCTAAAGGCCTACTCTTCTCCACACAAGCGCCATGGCAACCGTTGGCATTGTAGCCTCGAGTTGCTAGCCATGGCGTCAACAAGCGGGACAACCAGCAGCGTAGCGGGGAAGGGAAAGGAGAAGGTGAAGGCGAAGGGCACTTCACCGCCATTCAAAGCACAACCGGAACAACGGCAGAAGGAGTTGGAACGGGACAATGTTGTGCATCGGTGGATAGAAAGGGGACAGGAAGCAGAACCGAAGGGGTACGGCCAGTATTGGGTACGGTGCAAGTTGTGCATGAAAATGTTCACAGCATCGAAGACCCGGGCAGTGGAGCACTTCGTTAGAAAGGGCAAAGCTGCAAAAACATGCCCATACAGAAGTGGGGAGATGTTCCATCTGTTGGCGCTCCGAGGGGCCATCATCGAGGGAGATGCAGCTAAAAGAATGCTTCACGAGTACAGGGTCGAAAAGGACATTGCGGAAGATACGGGGATGGAGAGAACGGGGAATGTCAACAAGACGACGGAGGAGAACATCGAGCAGCACTTGCAGCCACCTCCGGCACCTGGCCGGGAGGTGCGAACAATGGAGGAAGCGAACGTGTGTGGGCCGCAGGTGGCAGAAGTCGGGACTCCTGTGCCGCCCTCTTGTGCGGGGTCTTCACCTGCGGTGAAGTCCGCGAAGATCACACAGATGTCGATCCGCCGGTGGACAGAGAACACCGCACAGAAGAGGTTGGACATGCAATGGGGAAGGGCACTTTTTCGATCTGGCATGCCCTTCAATTTCGTTCGCGTCGACGAGACGAAGGCCCTCCATGACTTATACATGGAGTTAGCCAAAATGAAGGCGAAGGTCGATATGCCGACCTTCCACACATTGCGAACCGTGATTTTGGATGCCATGTACGAGGATGTCAAAACGGCAGTGCAACCCCTGATCAACCACTGGGACATCTTGGGATGCACTCTAATCACGGATGGCACAACTGATCGCAAGTGGCGGCCAGTTTTGAACTTCATTGGGGCAGGGGCTGGTGGAGCTGTGCTGCTAAAGGTAGTCGACATGTCCCATAGGAAGTCCAACACCGCTCCGATCGCAAAGCTATGGGAGGAGGTTATCAGGGAGATCGGGGCGCACAGGGTGAACGCAATTTGCACGGACAACGTAGGTGTCAACAAACGAGCGGCGATGATCTTATCACGGAGCGCAGATCCGGATATTGCGAAGATCCCTTGGGTGTCGTGCGCCGCCCACACACTCAGCCTGTTGCTCAAGGACATGGCGAAACTGTCATGGATAAGCAAGATAGTGAAGAGGGCGAAGATGATGGTAAAGTTCATCAAGCACCACCATCGCACAGTGTCTTTGTTCTCTGCGTGCTCTTTGGAGGAGAAGAAGACACTGGTCATGCCCACGGAGGTGAGGTTTGCGTCAACGTTTGAGATGTTGAACAGATTGCATGATATGCGGGGTGTGTTGGAGGAGATGATGGACAAGGGATGGAAGAACATCCATTGGAGCTCGAAGGAACTTCGGGAAAAAGCGGACAAGATCTACCACACTGTTCGATCGAGTCGGTGGTGGGAGGAGGTATATCGGATTGTCCTTCTTATGCGGCCGGTCAACGAGCTCCTCCGGCGGATGGACCGCGATGGTGTGGCACCTTCATCTCTGTGGGGGTTTGACAAGATTCTCCGAGGTCGCTTGCGGAGCATCGGTGGCATCACAAAGGAGCAGCAACAAGAGATCATGAAGATTGTTAATGACCGCTGCAAGATGATGAGGCAGCCGGTGCACGYWGCRAATTTCTTGATGTCCCCGACAAGAAGGGACCCGCGTTGGGTGTTGGACAAGAACACCCCCCTTGTTCACAACGCCATTCAACATCTGATGTCGCAGCTCCGGGGAGACAGATGGGGTTCAGAAGAAAGTCATGTGAATGTTTGGCAAAGCCTCTGGGCCTTCCATCAAAAGCCAYCRAAGGAGCTTTSTGAAAAGGAGCCCATGTGGGACAGATTYGGGGTGGCCGACTCCTCGYTGACGCRGAAGACAGCATCGCAGTGGTGGTCGTCGTATGGGGGGAAWCACCYRRAGCTGCAGAAGATWGCCACAAGGGTGACGRCCATGTGGAGCACAGCCACACCTTGCRAGAGGAACWGGTCGTCGTTGGACCTTATTCACACTAAAAGGAGGAACAACCTGTCGAGCGCAAGTTTGGCGAAGTTGGTTTATATCCACTGGAACATGCAGCTCCAGTGCATCCCCAAAAGCTTGAAGGATGGGTTTGTGGATGTTTGGGCATCATTCTTTGATGAGGCGGAGACTCCATCACCGAATGATGATCCAATTCTCCCCGGCCTTTTGGTGGAGGATGGGGAGGAGTTGAGGAGGCAATCCAACTTGAGGAAAACTCCGAAGGGGAGGATTCCAGTTGGAGGGGGCTTGGAGGACTCGGACACGGAGTCAAGCGCTGAAGAGATCATATGTAGCAGAAAACCACGCGAAACGAGAGCTTCGCTGCAAAGATCAATAAAAGGGAAGGATGTTGTCGACCTTGAGAATGATGGGTCGGAGGAAGACGACGAGGACGTGGACGAAGACGGAGATGGTGAAGAGGAGGACGCGGAATATGACCCTGACTTCGCTGACCTTCCACCAACACATCACAGCGACGAAGAAAACAATGCGGCGTTTGAAGACGGGGGCGATTTGGAGTGCTGGTCTGCAGAGCAGCAGTCATGTGCGCTGGCATCGGCCTCCCGTGACAATGTTGACAGGGCTGCAGCAAAAGCCTTGGCAGAGGGAAGAGACCGGCTTCTTGTGCAACAACGCATTCGGGAGGAAGAAGCGCGCATTCGGGAGGAAGAAGCGCGTCGTGAGGCTGCCCCCTTTTGTTCGAGAGCACGTCTTCCCCTACAACCACCGCCTGTACAAGACATGCTTGTTGACTCGCAGCAGCAGGAGATGACGGCGCAGCAGCAGCAGGAGCCGGTGTTCACTGCGCAGCAGCAGCAACCCGTGCAGGTGGAGCAGCAGCAACCCGTGCGGGTGGAGCAGCAGCAACCCGTGAAGGTGGAGCAGCAGCACAAGCAAGTTGTCGAGTGTGAACATTCGATGCAGGCGGACGCGCGGGATAGAGGGGTGGAGGTCCACCAGCAACCTGCCCAGCAGCAACAACAGCAACATGTGCAGCAGCAGCAGCAGCAGCCTGTCCAGCAGCGCCAGCAGCAACCTGTCCAACAGCAGCAGCAGCAGAATGTCGAGCAGCAGCAACAGCAGCAACCAGTCGAACAGCAGCAGCAGCAGCAGCGTGTCCAGCAGCAGCAGCAACAACAACCTGTCCTGCAGCAGCAGCATCAGCAGCAGCCCGTACAGAAGCAGCAGCAGCAGCATGTCGAGCAGCAACAGCGACGGCATGTCGAGCAGCAGCAGCAGCAGCAACACTAGCAACAACCAGTCCAGCAGCAGCCTGTCCAGCAGCAGCCTGTCCAGTAGCAGCACCAGCACCAGCAGCAAGAGCGGGAAGAACATGTCCAGCAGCAGCCTGTGCATCCCCAGCAGCAGCGAGCGGTCACCACAGAGCAACGACTCGTAAATGACACAGCCCAGATTTTGCTCGGGAAGGAGGGGGCACAGCAGCAAGAGCACCCGGAGCGACAAGTAATGCAGCAGCACGTCAAGGTGCAGCAGGCGGTGCCGCAGGAGCGTGTGTGCCCTCCGCCGCCATTGCCAGAGCTGGATATGAATCTTGTCCACGACAACATTGATGTCAGCAGGGCGGGCAGGAAGAGGAAGACGATTATAGAACCCCCCCTAGTTCCATTGGTGAAGCGTGGTAGAGGCAGACCCAGAAAGGGAGAAGGAAATTATGCACCCCTGCCACCTCGCCCTCCCACGGGAAGGCCAAAGCGCACAGAAACGGGAAAGGCGACGACCACGCGGCGTTGGCAGGTCCTTGAGGATGATCCCACTAGAACAGAGGACGGTACTAACGAAGAGGGGGGTCGGGAAGAAGACCCGGACGGGGAGTAGGCGAGAGAGAGAGAGTGAGAGAGAAAATGCCTCCTCATCCCTAACATGCGTCTTTTCTTTTTCTTCTTCTTCTGCTTCGTCTTCTTTTTTTTCCCGCAGACGTGGCAAAGTAGGAAATGGCAGATCATGGCAGTCTGTAGAGATGGATTCTTTCCGTGAGGCACCCGCATCCTTCTTCTGCATGATGTCTTCTTCTTCTTCTTCTTCTTCTTCTTCTTCTTCTTCTTGTGCTTCTACTTCGTTTTTCTTTTTCTTCTTCTTCTGCTTCGTTTTCTTCTTTTTCCTGCAAACATGGCAAAGTTGGGCATGGCAGATCATGGCAGTCTGTAGAGATGGAATCTTTCCGTGAGGCACCCTCATCCTTCTTGTGCATGTTGTCTATCTTCTTCTTCTTCTTCTTCTTCTTCTTCTTCTTCTTCTTATGCTTCGCCCTCGAACAGTGCCTAACAATCAGTGCTACACCCTGAAACAGTGCCTAACAATGGGTGCTACACCCTCGAACAGTGCCTAACAACGGGTGGTACACACCCAAACAGTGCCTAACAATCGGTTGATCACAAAAGAGCAGCTACAGGCCGCAATTGTGAAATTTGAGCCCCACAAGTAGACATTCGGGCCCTGTGCAAGAATTGGCCTCCCAGTGTTGGAATATTTGAGCCGCGTGCAGAAAATCAACAGTCACATCCGACTGAGACATTCTGCAAAGTCCTAAAAGTAAAGCATTTAGAAAAGTCGTAACCGAAGGGACACAAGGAACGGACACCTCTGCAAAGCTACTTTGAAAAGGCACAATACAAAGTGAAAGGGCACGACATGACTCACCTGTTGGTCGCAGCTCTTCGCTCAAAAGTCATGAAGCAAAACACATGTGTTTTCCCACCAGAAGTCACGTACGTGGTCAAAAGACACACCCCTTCGTCATATCCAGGCTCGCGGCCAGAGCAACAGCAGAGTACCATGGGAAGTACCAGGCCCTGCATACAGTGGGATATGTCTGGGGATGGGGTGGAAGGAAGCAAATCGTGGAAAATGGGACTGGCGGACTGGAAATTGCAAAAGGCCGAAAAATGTGCACAAATCTACATTCAGGTAGTACAAGCCAAGCGCAAAAACATTCCCAAAAAAAATAATAATAATAAATAAATAAATAAATAAATAAATAAAAATCGGTCGCCCGAGTGACCCGGGCGGACCCGGGCGGCCGGCCCGGGACCGGGTGGCCCGGCCGGGCGACTTCCGTAGCCTAGGTATGAACCCGTTTTTCTTCATCACTAAAACCACTGGAAAAGACCAAGGGTCGGTGGTGCGTTCAATCCAACCATTTTCCTCAAACTCCCGGATTTTTTCCAACGCCGTTTTTCTTTCGACGAGAGGGTATCAGTAGGGTTTGCAGTGAATGGGTGGATGTTCCTTAGTCCGGATTTCATGTTGGATCACTCGTGACAAACCGATATCTGTGTCTATGACGCTAAATTAAATCGCTTCCTGAGACTCGTTTAAGATGTTTGTGATCATGTGATGGATGTCGCTTGGCACGTACTCGGGTACCTGTAGATCATAGGTTTGTCCGTTGATTCTGACTTCTAAGCGCTTCATCTCAATCCGTTTGGGAATCCGGGTCAGGGCAGATGCAATGAACAAGTGATCTGATCACCAGAGAACACTGTGGCAATCATCTGGGTGTCTGCTTCAAAGATTGACAAGTGCTCTTCGGGGGTGCCCGTCTTCCTTGCCTCCGAACGTTTTGATTTCTCAACGATTTTAATCTTGATATCAAAAGAATATGCATCGAATCGTGTAGGGGGTTCCAAAGCTTGTGTTTCAGCGCCTCGACATAACATTGATACTTCCTTTTCCGTTGTGAGGAGCGATCGAGAGGGCGGACCCGTGATACCGCAGAAACATCTCTTGTCTAAGCAGTGATGTAACAGTGGGTTAGCCGCCTCATACAAGGTTCGAGGGGGTTCCAAAGAATATGTCATCCGGGAAAGTTGCACCAGTGGTTACCGTAAAAACAGTGTGCACTTTGTTGCACCCTATTTTGCGCTTAGATCGGAGAGAGATCTTTTGGTTGCCACCTGCTCCAAGTAGGTGACAAAGCCTAATACGAAACCTTTATTTTCAAACTTGTCCTGGATTGCAGCTAATTCTGCTTTTGTCCGACATAGTTCGGTAGAGTTTCTATCTTTAGCGAGGTTTCCCCCTTCGAGGAAGCTAATGGCAAATTTTCATTCCATTCCTTTTGTCGCGTTCCTAATTTATTGCATGATGCGAGCGATGGGGGAAAAAGGTTTTCGTAGCTTGGCCGGCATCGCTCGGCTTCTAAGTCCATCGATGAACAGATCTCTTCGACTTTCTCGTCTCGATACGAACAATCTGTAGAATCGACTATGATATTCCGCAATGGACTCGAGGGGTTTCTGTACTCGATCTTTGATCATGAAAAAAACCTGTTCTGGATGAATATAATCAAACAGATACAAAAAGTCTCTTTCGAAGGTTGGGAGATAGATCCACACGTAAGCTATGAATCCCCCGCAATTGTAGTTGCCGCGGCCACGACCGCGGACCACGGTCTCGGGCGCAAAGCCGCGGTCATGGAAAAAAAAAAAAAAAAAAAAATCTGAAAAAATATATATTTTATGCCCAAAAATAAACTGAAAAACTTTTGCCTAGGGGTCATATCAAAATTCGTTACCAAATTTGAGATAAAAATCAAACAAAATCCTTTATTTTCTTACTAAAAGAATAAAGTAAAGAACTTTTGCTTGAGGGATTTCTGTTGGTTTTTTTTTTTTTATCGAAAAAGAAGTCAAAACCTACAACCCCATATTTTTATTTTGTTTTTTTGCCTATTATCCCATGATTTTAAAATGTCGGGGTTTTCCGACCGCACTTGGTTGCGGGCGCCGCCCGCTGCGGTCAGGATGTCGACCGCATGCGGTCAAATGGCCCGCGGTCACGACCGCGGGTGATACACGTAAGTGTTGAACCAATGGTATGCATCTTCTCCCAGACGGACGGGGATATTGGTTCTGGCTTCATCGTTGTCATAATGTCGTGCTCGGCGCATGGAGAGCCACGCTCCCGCCAAGTGATGTGGAGGGTCGAAAAGATACAAATCAGGCAGGCCAACAGGTGCACGAACGTGCGGCAGGTTGCGGAGGTACAGACCCCGCTTGACTCGCTCCTCCTTGTGCCTGGTTAGTGTTAGGTGCGCGATTAACATTCATGTTGGCCGCCTGTTGTCCTGCCGATCGACTTCGGGTAACTACAGGATCTCGCATTTGCGTGTTTGTTTGCCTAGATCGTCCTCGCCTAGGGCTCGCCAACTCGATCGACCTATGGAGCCGGACCACTTGTTAGTCCTTGGTCTTGACACATGTGAACTCCTATACCAACCTCACGCCAAGCGCGACTTCCTGTTTCGGAGTGGGAGCAGGCCTGGAAGTGCGGAAAAGGGATGTGCCAAGGATTTTAGGACAGTGGGGGGTGGAGTCCCAATTCGAAACTGAGATCTTCGGTGTCAAGTTTCAAGGACAACAGTGCAAGTGGTTCAGTGGAGGACCAGGTTTTCTTATCTACGCTTCCCAGAGACGGGCGGCTAGTTTCGTTGGCCTCGTCGTCTAGGGCGGGTTCGTATTTTGTGTACACTACAGAGGGAACGCAGTTGGTGTCTCTCTGTTTCAACACTTGTCGTTTGTGGGTTTCACAAATTTTGAAATCCGACGTAGACGGCCTCAGCCAGAGACTGTGTTCTCGGTGCTCGACTTTGGAACGTGTTCGTCGGACAAATCCCGCAGCCTGATAGGTGTAATACTGCCGACACTCAGAGCACGCCGGCCTTTCGGGCCAGTAGGGCCCGGGGGCTATCGAGTTCCTGGGGACGACCGTTAGATTGTAGTAGGGAAGAAAGAGATAGAAGGGAGGGAAGTTGGTTTTGATGGCGACGAATCCTAGCTCCACGTAGGCCTGGTGGTTGTGCGTGCCGGGCTAATCCAAGAATCGAGGATTTTGTTCAATGGCCTGCTAGAAGTCCCATGCACACAGCCGATCATTCTCGGCTTGGCAGGGATGCACACAGCCGATCATTCTCGGCTTGGCAGGGAAATACAGGAAGTCTCAATCTCAATCGGCGGGAGAGGTGCTCGTTGTCTCAGTACTTTCGGTACTCGCAATCCCTTAGACAATCGCGATAAGTGATCCAAAATGGAGTGCGGATGTCCATATCTCACGATGAAATTTTAGTTCATACATCCGTGTGTTTGCGGCGTCGGCGCAACCTGGTTGGAGACAGTCTTGCAGACACGCGTATACGTGATGTCCACCTTGTCTTTGGGTTATTCGTATACGTGCGTGTACATGATCTGTTTCCAATCAAGGTTTAAGACAACTCGTTATGCATGCATCTTTTATAGGCCCGACTTATCCGGAAAGACGACATCCGCAGACTTCAAGCAACTGATCAAGGCAACATACGCAAACATACG